ATAAGGCATCTCAGTGGGGAGAATGTTCACATTCTAAACATGGAGAGAACAGATTAATTACATAATGTCCTTTTCTGAAGTACAAGGTTGTATTGTTTTGTTTTTGCATATGTAGTGGGTTTTAAATACATGAACTAACTAATCTCTAATTGGATAGAAAAATATAGTTCTCTACTGTTTTAATTATTTAGAATAACAAAACTGCTGCTATGAATATGTTAAAATTCCTGAAAAGAAAAACAGCAGCTATTAATGTATAATTATCTGATACTCCAGTCATCAGAGATTTAATGTTTAAAGCATTTATCGTTTTTATAATTTTTGTGAATTATAGCATTTTAGCAACCAATTTAGTATAATTTAAGATAAGGGCCAGAGGTCTTTAATCAGGATTAGGAACGTATATACACAAAGTGTTACAAGTTTTCAAGTAACAACTGTAAAAACTCTTGATGCCCTTCCACAAAATCTCCTTATCAACATTGAGTCTATTGTATTGAGTTTCTCTTCCTCTGAGGTACATATACACCAGTGCTCACAACAGATATGTCCTGGGACCCGTGTAAATCTCCAGATTCTCAAAATACCTCCATGACATATAATTGGAACTCTCTCTGCTACTTGCCCATCTATTGCTCTGTATTAATGCTTGTATACGCTCCTGGCTTTCTCACGTTTTCTTCTAAAGGCACTTGTTTCCCCAGAATATCCTCAACATAAATTAACACCACCAACTTTGTACCAATTACATGTTGAGCTAGTTTTCTTCACAGAATAAAGTACTGGCCAAAATATAATATTTTCTCCATTTGCTTTTTCTTCTTTCCGTGTAAAGCACGTGGAGGATTCTTTCATGTCGTAAATGGGTACCCACGTTGCATTTGACAGACCACACTTGTGAATTCATCCAAAATGTTCACTTTCTGGCTAGGAACATTATCATCTTTCTTTCACATCTGTTGCTGGTACAAACTGTTAGTTTTCTTCCCAAGGCCATTTTTCACAAAGAAATAAAGATTATATCACTTCATAAGAGTCACTGCATAGCCAAGGATGAGTGGGAAGTAGGTATGGACTGAGAGGCCCTCTGACTAATATACCTCAATTTGACATACCCAAATTGAAGTATATTCTTCAGAGTAACTGAATAGATTTAGGTTATGCATTTGGGCAGGAATATCAAAAAACTGATGTGTTCTTCTTAGTATATCATATCAGGAGGAATATGGTGTTGGTTTGTTAATATTACTGGTTATATTAACTTTGATCCACTTGGCAAAGGTGATGTCTGCTGGAGTTCCTCACCGTAAAGCTTCTATTTTCCCTTTGTAATTAATAAGTGTTTTGTTGGAAAACACTTTGAGTCTATATAAATATCCTGCTTCTTATCAAGCAGGTGGAGGTGTATATTTAGGATAAACTTGTAGAACGGGATTGCTGAATTAAGAGGTAAACACATAGGGAGCTTTGTTAGATTTTGCCACATGACCCTCTAAAAAATTTGTACCAATTTACATTTTCATCACCAATGTATGAGAGAGCCTGCTTCAACCCAGTCTCACTAACAGACTATGTTGTCCTACCATTTACATCTACTATTTTGCCAGTCTCATAGGTAAGAAGTAGTTTCTTGGTGTAGTTTTAATTTGCACTTTATTATTATAAGGATGAATATCTTTTCAAATGTTTCTTTTGTGTGAATTGTCTGTTTGTCTTTTGCTCATTTTTCTATCAAGCTGTTTATCTCTTTTTCCCTTCAATTATTGAGTTCTTTATATGTTAGGACTCTTACCTTTTTATCTGTGATATATACTGCAAATACTTTTGCCCAGTTTGTCTTTTGGCCTTTTGCTTTTGTTTACAGGGTTTTGTGTCATGCAAACATATTGTTTTTGTTTTAATCTAGCCAATATTATCAATCTTTTCTATTATTGCTTCTAGATAGCTACGAAGTCTTCCCTACATTGGAGTATACAGAAATTCACCTTATTTCCTTGCAACACTTGTCTGGTGTCATATGCATGCATTTCTATCTCTGATCCGTTTGGAGTTTACTCTTGATGAAGTTCTTGGAGTTTGTCTTTTTCAAGTGTCAATGCAATTGTACTAGCACCTTTTATTTAGAAGTCCTTGTCCTAGCCATTTCAGATGCTGTCTTTATCATATACAAAATTTCTGTATGTACTTGAGTCTCTTTTTGGACTTTCTATTCCATTCTCGGGCTTATCTGTCTATGTATGTGCCATATCTGTGCTGCTTTAATTTTACAGACTTTATAGTATGCATTAATACTGATAGGGCTAATGCCCCCTCATAGCTTTTCTTTTCCAATTTTTCCTAGTTATTCTTGAGTGTTTATTTTTCCATATGAACTATAATATCACTATGGAGTATAACTCTATAAAACCTTGTTGGTGTTTTTACTGAGATCACATTAAATTTATAAATTAACCTGGGAAGAGTTGACATCTTTTTAATGTTGAATTGTTCCATCCCAGAACAAGAGATTTCTTTCCATTTGTTCAAGTATATTGTTGTATCTTTATAGTATTTTAAATGTTTCTTTATAAAAGTTTTACACATATACTATTAAGTTTAAGCATTTTATCTTCTTAGTTGACATTGTAAATGGGGCTTTGTCTGTTCTTACATTCTCTAAGTGGTTATTGTTTGTGTGTATGAAGGCTGCTGATTTCTATATGTTAATTTATATCCTGTTACTGTACTTAATTCTTTTATTGATATAATGTTATCATTGATTCTCCATGTATGCTATCATAGTATTTGCAAATGGAGGTGGTTTCACTTATATAATTTCTCTTGTCTAACTGTATTGGCTGATACCTCCAAGGCAATATTAAATAGTATTGAAGATATTATATACATGCACACACACATATACATATATCATACACATATATAATACATGTATTATATATTTTAAGCATGTAGTCATCATTTCCTAGTTTCTTCATTGCTTTTATCAGGAATAGATACTGAATTGTGTCAAAAGCTTTTTAGCATCTGTTGAGATAATCATATGATTTTTCTCCTTCGATTGATTAATATGATGTCTTATAATGGATTTCCTCATATTGAGCAGACTTGCACCCCTGCAATGCATCTCACTTGATCATGATATATTATTTTTCTTAATGTATATTACTGATCTTAAATCTACAAATACGAAAGGTCTTTGGCAGTGTCATTCAAAAACAATATCCCCTAGGGCACTTATCAAATTGATTTCTGCTAAATCAGAATTCTAGAAAGGATCTTAGGAATCTGCTTTTAACAAGTCCCACAGAGGTGGTCCTTGTGCACACTGAGAACCACTGGTCTACTTACTATATTCAGTGTGAATTTTTAACGGGAAATTACTGCAGAACCTGTTTACTTTAGTACAGAGTTTGCTCCATGATTCCTTTAAAAAGCTGCTTTGTGTCTTGAAATTATAGATTCTAGATCGAGAGCCAGTTGCAGGAAAGTAGATGATATGAAGAAACTAAAACCTAAAATAGTATCTGCTACTTGAATCCTTATCCATTGATCCATTCACTCATTTATTCAACCTTTTTTAGCACTATGCAAGGATGAGGATACCAAGATGTGTAAGACATAGTTCCTGTGCAACAGTAGGAAAAATTGAGGATTACGTAAATATTTGTAAAATATTAGGCATTATATTAGAAATATTTTCCAGGAATTTTATATACTTGAGGGGCTTAAAAGAGGAAATGCATCAGAAAAGATTTTTAAAAGGAGGTACTGCTTTAGATGAAGCATCTTTCCAATATAACATTAACAAATGGGGGAAGAAATTTATTGCAAAAATCTCATTTACATGAAACATTTTAGAAGTGCATCTCTTACACATGATGTGTTAGTATACCAGCATATCAACTCTTGTTAAACAGAACTATGTAAGATCACTCATCTATATAAGGGAAGTGTTTAAAAGGCGGAATCTCTGTATATAACCTATGAATGAATTTCTTTCCAAGATATACAAACTTAATAGAAACACTGAATAACATCAATAGCAAAATAGAAAGCATCAATAATAAATAGAAACTTCAGTAAATGGAACACGAAATACCATTGCTTCTATTAGTATGCTTCAAATTCTCTTAAAGAAAAAGAAGATATGTACTCTCTTTCCATTAGAATTTGTGATGGTTTGGTTCCACTCCATTTATTCTTAGTATCAGACTTTGCTTGTCCGGGACAACTGCTGTGTGGGTATGGGACCATAAAATCCTGTGACTAACACTCACACCAGGGTAATGATTTTGGATTGGCTTGGTATGGAATGCATTTCTTATCATCATATGAATGGCCCTCACATGATGAGATGAGAGGGCAATATTTTAAAGTACAAACCTGGTACTGCTTGCTCTGAATAAAATTCTCCTAAGTCAAATGTAGTAAGGATTCTTTCATTTCCTGATTTTAATAATCTAGGAGGAAAAGGGGTTTTTAATTGCCAACGTTTTTATTTACCCAAAGTCTGTAAAATTTACTGCTGCTTAGGACTGAATGTGCTACAAATTATGTATGCATCAGGTGGCTTTGGCACACACCTCGTGTCTGAATTAAACTCGAGCAGGTGTCAACTAAGATAGGAGCAAGTGTCACACTGAAGTCTTGGTTTATCCATTTGGGCTCAGCTTTAACCATCACTCTGCAGTTACCAAATCATTAAAATAAAATGTTCATATTTGAATACCTTTCGGGATTTCCTTGGCAAAGAGAAGACAGAAAGCATTTTAATACGATTTTTTAAAAATGTATAGCCATCCAGCTTAACAACAGAAAATTTGGATAGCAAAAATATATCCTGGGTGAATTCTGAAATAGAAAAAACATATATATAATATATAATTTATTCTGAATAGCCTGTTTAAGTAGTATATTTGTTTTGAACGAGCAATAAAATTTAGTGTGCCTTTATTGAGCTTGGCCGTATTAATTTTAGTAATTTCTTTATTAATTTACAGTTGGTAATCAGTGGATAAATTACATATCATTCTGTGGTCTCAGAACACATGCAGAGCTTGAAGGAAACCTTGTCACTGAGCTTATCTACGTCCACAGCAAGTTGTTAATTGCCGATGACAACACAGTTATTATTGGTAAGTATATGGTCCATAACTGTATTCCTTGCCAGCTGACTCACCCCATGCAAAAATCTCTGCTGCGATTCCTCTCAAGCTTCCTTTGCAGCTGAGAGAGACAATAATGTAATATCTGAACCCCTTCTGAAGTAATCATCTTCTCTTACTTCATTTCTAACCTGTTTTTACCTATGAAGAAGCAGAGGGACAGAGCAATTAAATGGACTCTGCAAATCGCAGGATCCAGAGGTAGCGAGTTAACCCAGCAGTGCAATGATTTGCCTGATGTCAGCAATTCCCTCTTGTTTCTTTATTTTTATTTTGAATCCAAGTGGCTAGGTTTCAGGGATTGGGAAGGGGGCAGAAATGGGAAGGGAAAGTGTGTCATAAGCAAGTACCTTGTGGTAAATTGCATGTGTTTACACCATGTCCACCTAACCACCTAACCATTACCACAAACCTGAAGTTGGGCAAAAGTCAAATCAGAAGGATATTAAAATATACTGCCTCTATCCTGACCATTATTTTTCCTAACATCTATGTTTTGGGTTTCAATAATCAGGATGTAGAGCAGTCCAGCTTTGTTGATATGTGTGTGGTTGAGAGAATTGTGTATTAATGACAGAATGCAGCTCTGTACAAGGTCTGCAGTCTTTTCTTGTCAAGGATCACAGTAGATTTCTCCAAAGCCTTTCCCTACTGACAGATTCAGGAGAGAGTTACTGGTTATACATTCTTCCCAGATTAGATTAACCTGGCCGGAAAAGTGGATGTTCAGCTTCATTCTTTCACACACATGGAAAGCTTCATATTTCCATCATTGAATCGTTTTGCCTTCTAATATTATGTAAAATGAACACTAGAAGGCCAGGACGAGAAACAGAGTATTAATAACCAGCCAGATATATGAGGTAACCAGGGTGGGGGCATGTTACCTAGAGATAGGATGTGTCCCACTATTGGGAATTCCACTCATCTGTTTTAAATAAAATGTAGTTTCTCAGCTATCTCAAGATACTTTCCTATTCTTTAAGAAACTAAATGTTATGGAGTATTTTGAATTTTTTGGCAATAAATATGACCTCCATCCTCCACTGAGAAAAGAAAAAAATCTCGTATCTAGGAGTGATGAGATTGCCTTATCTGGAATGTGACTTTAAAAAAAAGGAAAAGTAATTCTAAAGCCAGAAGATGTCTAGACTACAGTGTGGTGAAAGAGAAAGATGCACACACACACACACACACACACACACACACACACACACACACATTCTTTTAATACTTGAATAGGACATTTAAGAAAAATATCTTATTCTTTGATCTTTTTCTCTATAGGGATTGAAGCTCTGTAGGGCTTCAGTGTATAAGGTATCTGTTATTGCCCCCAGGCTTCTCTGGACTTGCTCTTCAAAAGCCAACCTCAGAATATCTTTATATTAAATTTGGCAATGACAGTAGGAAAGAAAAAATATTGATGTTTGCTGAAATGGAAAAATAAACAAATAAAGCCAAGTAAAATTCAGTTGGTGTCTTCAACAAGATTTTAGAACTCGAAGTCAAAATTGACAGATGTAAGTATTTTCCTTCAAAAGGTCATTTTGACTTTCAGCCTGCTTTACATAAAGTGTAAATGCAAAGTAGTTTTCAGCAACAGAGCTAACAGTTAAATAGGTTTGTTCGGTATTTTAATTGACTTATTTTCTAGAAAGAACTCTGAACCCTCAAAGGCTACAATTTATTTCGGCTCGCAATAATTGATCCAGTTGGCACACTATTCCTATCCACTCTCTTGAAACTGAAGATGTGGCCCTGGGAGTATGAAGAGGTCTTCCTTGCTAGTATTAAGAGGCTGTATTTCTTTTTTCTTTTTTTTTCCTTCCCCAAGGGCAATGTGCCTTAAAGAATAGATTTCTCCCGAGGAAAAATACAAAGATTCTTTGATTCTTTTTATCTCTGTGGAAACTTTAAAAGTAAGCAGGTTTATTGTCGCTTCCCTAACACATCCACCTTGTTTAAGTTCATAACACAGAGAACAATGTTTAAAATTCTCAGAGAGGAGTTTGAGTAGTTAGGCTGAGAATATTTTTACAGGTGTTAAAGGAGGTTAACGCAACCTGTGATTAAGTTTTCTAACATGGCAAACTTATGCACAAATTATTCAGTAATCAACATGAGAAAAACGACTAATTGTTCATCCTCATGTTTTTCCTCATGAGGAAATATTTGTTTTCTCACATTGAAGATCTCTTTTGTGTATAGCTTCAATTACCTGTTGCCCTGGGCAGTCTGGCTGGTCATGAAATCTGTGACCACATCCAGTTTTCTAACTCATCTTAATTTTAAGCACTTAACCAAACTAACATTTATTTGCTTTCCTAAACAAGGAAAAACTACACTTTAAATAAAATGATAGTCTATCCTGTTAACTAAGTGAAACAGTTGTTTTTAATGTTCACTAATCCACAGCAAAGCACAACAGGGAGATGCAAAACGTGAATAAAACAGTGCGCTGCCCTCCCGGAGCTCACGGGCTGCAGGAGAGGCAGCTACTGCTTCCACCTGAGACCAGAAACATTGGGATGGATGTTGTCAAACCGGCAAGAAGGCCCCGAGGCAATCAGTGAGGGTGTGTGAATGGGGAAGCCACATAGAGGTCATGAATATCAGTACTTAAAGGGCAGGCTTGAGTGTGGCATGTGAAGGTCTATAGTTGAAAGGCTGCCCCAGTAAAGAGGGATTGTGTTTATTCTAAAAAGTTCTAGTCCTGTGGGTCTCAACTCTGGCTCCTGGGGAGCTTTAAAGGTATATATGTATCATTTAGTGGGAAGTTTCTTCATGTCTGCAAATTTACTTTTAATTGGATCAAAACAAAAAGATGAAGTAATAACAGATATGTAGACAGAGTGGTATACCAATGCCTACTTCCAGAAATTCCAGAAATTCTGATCTAATTCATCTGGTTTGGGGCCTGAACACTGGGTAAGTTTTGTTTTTGTTGTAGATTTTGAAAGCTTCCTAGGTAATGCTAATGTGTAGTCCGAGCTGAGAACTTCTGTTCTGGAGACACAGGGAACACAAGCGAGTGGAAACTACAGAGTAGCCCAGTGGACTCAATAGGAGAGTTTCCTTTAAAATAGATAAACTAAAACAGGGTAGAGTTGGTATGTCAATTTTCTATTACTGTTGTAACAAATGACCACAAACTTAGTGACGTACGAAAATACAAATTTATTATCTGACACTTCTGTAGATGACAAGTTCAACATGGGTCTCACTGGGCCAAAATCGGGGTGCAGCAGGGCTGACGCATTCTTTTCTAGGGGCCCACAGGGAGAGTCCGTTTCCTCGCCTTTTCCAGCTTCCAGAGGCTGCCCACATCCCTTGGCTTATGGCCCCTTCCTGCATCTTTAAAGTCAGAAACACTGCATCTCTCTGAAAATTCCCTAAAGTCTCAGCCCATTCTTTTGTACTCACATCCCCCTCTGACCCCCTTCACATTTAAGGATCCTTGTGATTATATTGGGCCCACCTGGATAATCTAGGATAACCATTCTATTTTAAGGTTACCTGATTAGTGACCTTAATTCCACATGCAGCCTTCATTCCCCTTGACCGTGTAACATACCATATTCATAGGTTTCAGAGATTAGGACATGGACATCTTTGGAGGCTATTATTCTGCCTACCACAGAAGGATTCACAATTTCTTAAACAAGACACACCAAAAGAGTACAAACCACAAAGGAAAAGAAAGATAAATCTAACTATTAAAATTCAGAACTTTATTCATTAAAAGATACTATAAAAAGAATAAAAAGATAAACCACAAACTGAAAGAAGATATTTGCAACACATTTAATACTCAGAACACATAAAGAACTCCTATAAATCAATAAGAAAAGACAAATATCCAAAGAAAAATGGACAAAGCAATTGTATGGAAACTCCACCAAAGAGAACATACCCAAGGCCCATAAATATATGAAAAAATGTTCATTCATTAATATAACAATTAGACAAATAAGAGTTTTTAAAAATACCAGACTGGCAAAAATTAAAAAGTCGGGCAATCTAAGCATTGGCAAAGCTGTGGAACAATAGACTCCCCTCCACTGCTGGTGGGAGTGTAAGTTGGAAGTCACTTTGGAGAACATTCTGGCCTTACCTAGTAAAACAGCAGTCTACTCCTGCGTGCGGAGCCAAGGTAAACTCTCACATGTATATGCCAAGAAACAAATTCACAAATATATAGAGGAGAAATGTGCACCCCAGCAAAACTCTGGAAGCAACCCAAACATCCATCGATAGTGAATGAATAAATAAATCCCTGGTGTGTTTATTCAAGGAAAATAAATGTGTTACAATTATGCACAGATAAATACCAAAGACATAATATTGAACGAAAAACTCTCAAAAGATAATAAGCTATATTATTTACTTATGTAAATTAAAGTTAGAAGTAAATTATTTTTTGTTTAGGAAACATGCAGAGCATGGTGAACACAACATTCAACACCAGGTCTCCCTGCGGGTTAGGACATGGTATGCACGGGAAGGTGCTGGAGGCCTCCTGGGATGTGGTAACACTGTCTTCAGCCCAGGTCGTAAATTCAGTGATGTTTATTTTATTATTGCCGAAATTGTGCATCTGTGTTTTTATACACTCTTTTGTGTTTTGCTATATTTCACAATTTTTAAAAAGTTTCCTAACAGCAGACTCAGAATAGGTCATTTTCTAAAAACTAAGTGGTTTTAAATGATCAAACCACTTTTTGTAAACTGTATTGTGCAGTTACCACAAAAAGTAATATGTGAATATAATACATATTGGTTGTAAATATTTTAAACTCTAAGGATGTATATAGAGTAAAAGGTCAAAATTCCCCTCATTTTCCTCTCTCTCCACTAGAAGGCACCTACCACTGTGAACAGTTCAGTGTGCTGTCTTTCTAGATCTCTTGCTCTCTCGTCTTCCTAATATGTTATATAAAAATAGGGTAACACTATAGCTGCTGTTCTGAATTTGATTTTCAGAATACAAGAACATTTAACAACAAGAATGGAGGTAGCATTTATATCCATCAATACCTCATTGTCAGTATCTCATTTATTCAATTCATCTAAAATGTTTTCATCCCTTTCTTCACATTCCTGTTAAATAGTAGCCAACTCACTTATCCAATGTGGTTGAGAGTCAGTGCTTTGGGTAACTCCAGGTTGGCCTTTAAAGAAGAATTACCCTCTCTCGGAATTCCAGCTCAGAATGCCAAGAATTCCAGGAATGTATTCCTCCCCTCCGGAGTGCGGAGGCCCACTGTGGTGGGAGGGGTTAGGGGCCCGTGTAAGTGTGTGTGTGTGTGTGTGTGTGTGTGTGTGTGTGTGTGTAGGAGGCTTTCTTACTCCAGGAGAGCTCACTTCCCTAGTTCTCCTGACGCTGAACAGAGCAGCCACGTCTGCCCAATTCAGCAGCTCTCGCCTGACAGCGGCCTCTGCTGGGGCCAGGGGATAGTGAAGTCCTAAAGCAGCACAATGGAAACCTTATTCTTTGAGTTCTTACAGTGCATATACGGGGTGATTTAGCCAGAAAGGAGACTCCTTTGATGCAAATGCTACATTCCAGCAAATTGTTCCTTCCTATGGCACTATTCTCTGGTACAGATATTATAGAGTTAATAAGTATGTGATAATAATGCCAATAATTAACATTTGTAGAGCAGTTTATAGATCAGTCAGTGTTTTCACATGGTCTTACTTATTTGCCAGAACAACCCTACAAGGTGTATATTATTATTTCATTTTATGAAAGATTATATTAAAGCTGAGAAAGATTAAGTGAATTGCCCAGATTAACACTAGGCAACTATCAAGCCCAAAGATATAGCTGCAAATTTTATAGCATAACCAAAATGTAAGTGTGTGTATAAAGGATGATTTGCTAACAAAACAAAGCATTTCAAAGGTTCCCACCTTAAAGCACGCCAGTAGCGCTCCCACATTTCTGCAGGGTGCACCTTCCTTTCTCTGTCACCCAGGGCCACCATGAGGCACCATTCACTTCCATAGTCATCATAGATTTGTGTATGAACTATGTGGTAATATCCTGGCAAATGGCAGTGAAGTCTCTTCCAGAAAGGGCAGATTTTTCTCATGCAGAAAACTTCGCCACTTGGGCTCACAGCAAGGCTGCCGTGACCTTACAGCTCTGGCTGCCCGAGTCACAGAGGGCCGCCGGTGCACCTGTCCAACCCGACCCCTCTGCCCCACGTCTGCAGACGCAGCGCAGTGTGCGACTAGGGCAAGAGGAGCAAGAAGAAAAGAGTCAGTCAGGCCCCATCTGTAGTTTGTAGGACGCCCAAAGGATTCAAAGCGGGAAGCCTCACCGATGAATACAGAAAACGTGATGGGGTTTCTGAATACACGGCAGAGGATTTCAGAAAGCACAGGTTGAACTAATAGCAAAATATGCGCCCTTCACATGTGAAAGTCAACATTCTCGCCTCATTTGGATTTAAAAATAGAATGGAGAGAAGTTGATACAGAAGCTCTTGGCATGCCACACAAGTGAGGCAAGGGAGTGGAAAGCCCAAAGCCACAAATGACAATCTGTATTTGAGATTATGCTCTATTGATTGTGAAGGTACTCTTGGGCTTTGACATTCATAATTATGCAGGGAATCTGATTCTTAACTGTAAAAGCAAAGCCATCTTCTCTACTGAACTGGTAAGCATGCCCTTTTTCTTTAAGTGCCGGATGATTATATCAGAATCCTTTGCACCACAAGGTAGAAAATTCAACTAAAAGTGTGTAAAACAATAAGGAAAATATATAATTTCACATAAAAGAAGGTCAGAAAGTTCAAGGGTTGAAGATTCTTCTTTCTGCTCTGCCACCTTCAGCTTGTCTGTTTATCCCCTAGTGGTTGCAAAATGGCTGCAAAAGCTCCTGAAATCATGTCATCAAATCCCTCAAGCCAAAATATCTAACAGCTGGAAGAGACAGCATCCATTTTTTGTGTTCCTTTATACAAAGGGGAAAAACTGTCTCAGGAGAAGGAAGAAGACCTTCCTTCATGTCGCTTTGACTAGAACCACATCAAGTGCCTATTCTTAAGCCAGTCACTGGGAAAAATAATGAAATTACCATAGCTGGCTTAGACTGATCGAGATTCACCCTTGGGTTAGGGAGGGCCCCACCTCCCTAAAGCACATCTTCCCTAGATAACCTGAACAAAATTAGGGTTTTGTTGGCAAGGAAGAAATGAGTGGAGAGGTCAATCAACGGTGTCTGCCACAATAAAGAGGTTGTTTAATTTCACTGTTTTCTCCTTATAGGTTCTGCCAACATAAATGATCGAAGCTTGCTGGGAAAGCGTGACAGTGAAATGGCTGTCATTGTGCAGGATACAGAGACGGTTCCTTCAGTAATGGATGGAGAAGAGTATCAAGCTGGCCGGTTCGCCCAAGGACTTCGGCTACAGTGCTTTAGGTCAGCCCTCCGAAGCTGTGTCTCTTTGATGTGGTTCCACTGCCACGGGCACTGGGACCCAGCCCTGCCCTCTGGCCCTTAGACACATGCCCTCCCAGGTTCTTCTTTGTCTAAAACAGTGTCTCCCAAAATATATGATATATACCACCAGTAGTATGTGAAATGACTTTGGGTGGTACATGAACATTTGTCATAGCTTTTTATTATTTTTAGGTACAATAGGAGACACTAGCATTTTAAATATATTAATTGATTTAGGACCAGACCAGGTCAAACCATCTAGTGTCCATTTAAGTTTTTAAAAGTGAGTTCAGTCTTAAAAATCAAAATAAGTCCAGTAATAGAAGAATATAATAAAAATTATTAAAGGAGGATGCCAGTGACTACTGGTATCAAATTTAAATGTAGGAACTTCTGTTCTCAGGTTTAAGATGACTCCAGATGTGGAAGATCCCTGATCTTTGGCAAGAAGATGTGAGTTTTAAACAAATCTGTGCTCAAGCAGAGAGCACACTGGGCTAGGAAGCTGGTCTCATTTAGACTGTGTGACTCTAAATGAGTCCTTCATTCGATAAAGTGTTATTTAGTTCTTTCTGGGGCTGGGGCTCTGATTGTCCCCAGCCCGTTGTCTATTCTCCGCAGCAGTCAGAGTGATCCTTCTAGAACCTTCTAGATCATGACACTCCTCTGCTCACTACTGTCCAGTGGCTTCCTACCTCACAAGTAAACACGCAACAAGTAAAATCCTTGTTCCTAACATAACCTCTTCTCCTCTCCCTCTTTCCCTTGCTCACTGCAGACACACTGATCTCCCCACTGTCTGTGGAACACGCTGACCACTGTCTCACTGCTAGGCCATTGCAGGAAGTCCATGATTTTATGATTCTAGAACTATGTGTGCCATGATGTGATTTTGTGTGGCCTCTATAGTGAGACGCAGCAAGTGGCCCTGGTGTAGTTAGAGGCAGTGCATTATGCTATTTGGGGAAGGGCACTGCACTGCAGCACTGTTATTTTGATCCTTTATGTGTTAACGATCCACTTTGGAAATGGACTCATTTGCAGACAGGCACATAATGAGCACTTCACTCCCTGCAAATGTGGAGGCCATTTCCCTCATTGCTACCAGTCCCGATTCTGGCTTCTGAGACCAACATAAGCTTCAGTTCTAGAGACATTCATTCTGCTCTCTGTGCCCAAGGAGCTCGGCAAATCCATCCCTCAAAATCTGTCATTACCTTCTAACAACTTTTATTGCTTTATTTGCGGCCTTTGTTATTAATTGTTTTGTCAGTAAGAATATTTTCAAACCACTGATATTTCAATAAGCTTCTATGTTAATTCATTTCATTTAGCAGGGGAGAATTTAAAATTAGTACCCTGCTAATCATCCCATTGATTGCCTACTGCAGAATATGTAAGGAAACAAATATTTCCTTTTGTAAGCTGGAAATATATGTCAGATATCTTTTCGTTTCCTGGAGAACTTAAGTATACTCTTTAAAATGGTGGGCTTCTATATAACTTTTTAAATGTATAATAATTATAGAGGTAGAGGGTTCTGATTTCAACACATTTTTGTTGTAGAAATTTAGCAAATACAGAAAATCAGTAAGAAGATTATATTCACCTGTAATACTACCACCCAGTGCTAACAATTTAAACATTCAATACCTATCATTCCACTTTCTTCTATACATATATATTAATACACTGTATTTCTTTTTTAAAAAACAAAATTAGATTCTCACAGGTCTACAATATTTTTTATTATTTAAATAATGTTACACATGTTTTTCCATGTCATTAAGTATTCTACTATATGTTAATGGCTACATCATATTTCATTGTGTGTATGTGCCATATTCCTTTAGCTAATACCTCATTGTTTGGCAGATTTTTTTTGCTAATATAAAAAAATGGATATGTTTGTAAATACCATCTTGTTCACCTTCTTAATTGTTCCCTTAGACTAACAAAGCTTCCTTTGCTCTCTAACTTATTACATCACTAGCAATGTTTTAGACGGTTTATTCCTTCTATCTTTACTGAGTTCTAGTATTTTATTTAATCTTTGCCCATTTGTTGGATTTCAAGTGGAATTTCATTATTTTAATATGCATTTTTAGGGTTTTTTTTTTGAAGAACGTGTTTATTAGCCATGTGTAAATTGTTCATTTGTAAATGGAGTGGGGAACCTACGACCTTAAGGCCACATGTGGCCTTCTAGGTCCTTAAGTGTAGCCTTTTAACTGAATCCAAATTTTACAGAACAAATCCTTCTATTAAAGGGGATGCAGCAGAGAAAGATGAAGCTTTTCTTGCTTCCTTTGGTGCTTAAAAAGCAACAATCTTGAAATCAGAAGGCTACAAGTCCTCCACCCCCTTTACCCAGTATGTTGGAATGTTTAAGTTTCTTTTAATGATTTCTAAGTGCTTTAAATATGTAGGATGCTCATTCCTTTGTCACATGTGTTGCAAATTTGTTTTGTCATTTGACTTTTAATCATATTTAGAGTATTTGGGGAAAATATTTCAATCCTTGTTAATCAAATCTGTTTATTCTTTGTTTTTTCCCCTTTTCTTATATGTTTAGAATAGCTTCCCCAGTACAAGATCAAACATTTACTTATATTTTCTTCTAGTACTTGTTTGATTTTACTTTTTGCATCTAACGTCTGCAGTTTATTTTAATGTAAGAAATGAAGCAGGGGCTGTAACTTTTTTCCCCAACTAACCGGCTGATCAGACCTGTATGATGTGCAGTAGGGTTCTTCACCTCTCTAGTCTGCAGAACCTCTTCGTGATGCACTGAATTGCCATTGTTCTGACCTCTGATCTCTAGTCTCTCTATTCTGTTACATTGAAAGTCTGTGTCCTTGCACACCGGTGTGATACTATTTTAATTACTGTGGCTGTACATTTTAATACTACTTTTTGCCATTCTGCTTCTCCATATTAGTATTCTTTTTCGGAATAATTTTGGCTATTCATAAATATTAATTCTTTCACATGAACTTTTAATTATTTACTCAAGTTCTCTCAAATCCCTATTAGATTTTTTATTGGGATTATAGCAGATTTATAGATTAATATAAAAAGAATCGACATCTTTATAATATTGAGTCATCCTGTTGAAGAAAAAGGTACGGACTTCAATTTATTCAATTATTTTATTGTTCTTCAAAAAAGCTTTGGTCTTATTGTTGAGGGGGAGGAGGGTTGTTCTTCAGTAAATCATTCCTTTTTTTTTCTTTTATGCTGATCCTATACGTTTTATGCTAACTTTATTCCTAGGTACTTTATTTTTCCTGGCAATTTTCAAACTGTCTTAAAGAGGCAGTTGTTCTTAAACAATTATTTTCACTTTGCCCCAGTGGCAAACACAGATAATGTATTAAAAAGCACATAAAAATCTTGTGTCAATTGTAGCCTCTTTTTATTAGGAAATGTTCCCAAAGATAAATGTTATGGCTTAGAGCACAGCCATTTTCTCAGTTGAAAAAAACGCAGCTTCAATCTATTTTCCATCTGGGCTATTTTTGAATAGAAATAGAGAGACACATCTCAATGTGAAATCAATTCTAAATTGAGACAGAACCAACCATCGAGTACTGCACTGAATGTCACAGCTATGAGCTGATGAGTTCAAGTCCTAGAAAATTATCCAAACTTTACAGATATAACCATCACTCAACAGAAACCGTTATCTATACAAGTAGAGCTCAGAATCATTCAAAGTGGCAGAGAAGAGGAATGGAAAGAACAGAAATAATTTTTTGTGGTTTTCCTACTGTCCCACTTTTTGTGATGAATAAACAAATATTAAATAATTGCCATTATACACATCAACATAAAATCAAACTAGTTTTCTCTCAAACTTTAGTCCTTGAAAGAATACCCAAAGTACTTCATATTATATTTACTGTGCAATTTAATATAAATTTCTTATAATTAAAATACAGGGAAAATAGTTTGTTGCTAAGTATTTCCTATTATAGATTTATTTAAATACTTTTTCTACAAACAAGCCCTTCAACTGATAACTTGGTGGACACATTGGCTCACCTCTTGTTCTAATTTAAAAGACAAGTCACAAAAAAACCCTTTTTGCCTAATTTTCAGCACCTTAGACCTGGCCCAAATCAAAGGTATTACTGTAATTGACTTATTGTCATCACTTGCTCTGTCTCTCAGATTTGGAGCAATAACATTTTGCTTTGGGTCTTAATTAGCAGCCAGCATCTATGTGCAATATCATCCCTTAAATCTTGTTTTAAAAGTTATTCTCATATAGTCTAAAGGAGGTATTATTTGAAGTAAAAACAGAATTTTGAGGTTAAAAACACTCAAGAATCCTAGTTAGCCCATGGTACCAGACCCATCTAAAAAATTTTTTTTTATTTAGTGGAAAAAGTGCAGACTAAAACTAAAATGAGTTGCCCTTTTAGCTCTATCGAATTGAGCTTTTTAAAGAGTTGACAGTGTTGGAGATGACTGGGAGAGCAAGCATGGTTAATACTGTTGCGTTGGTACAGCCTTTCTTGGAGTAATTTTTCATATTCTTCAATCCAAGAATTTTAATTCTAGAATTTCTCCTAATGAAATAATCATAGAAATTCACAAAATATTATATATGATGAATAAATTCTGTCAATGGTAGCATTGCTCCTAATAATGAAAAACTGGAAACCACCCAAAAGTCCATAATAAAATAATTGGTTAAATAAACTTCACGTGATAGGAAGCTCTGTAGCCATTAAGAATGATGATGTAAATTTACTTATGTTTATTTAAATGCAAACAAAGAGGGCCATGATGTGATGCTGTCGGTTGTTAAAGCCAATGACCAGTGCTAATCTGCATTTGATACAGTTCTCCTTGACATGCCTCCTTGCAGGTTTCAGGACACCACACCCCAGCTTCTCCCCAGCCTTGCTGGCTGCTCCTCCTCTCCCCTGCAGCTGGCGTACACCTGATCCTCTTTTCCATCTATACTCACTGCTTGGTGAAGTCAGTAAAAACCATATGGCTTTATGAGATATGGATGAGGACAATTCTCAGATTTATGTCTCTAACTGAGCCTTCTCTCCCCTCCCAACCCCAGATCCCTTTATCCAACTGCATACTCAGCACTGCCACTCGGATCTTTAAAAGAAGTCCCAACAGGCTCAGAACTGAATTTCTGATCTTCTCCCACAAACCATCTCTGCCCACAGAATTCCCCATCTCAAGCTGTACCTTCTTCTAGTTGCTCGCAACAGAAACCTTTCAGTCGTCTTGGATGCCTCACTTTTTGTCACACCCTGCATTCACTCTACCAGTAAAACTTGTTGCCTCTGTCTGCATATCCACTGCAATGCCGGCCTGAGCCACCATCGTGTCTCACACAGATGACTGCAGTAGCTACTAACTGGCCTCACTGTTTCAACCCTCCTCCCCACCCAGTCTATTCTCAATATAGCAGCCGTTATTTTAGTTCACAAGTTAGATCCTGTCGTTCCTCTGCCCTGATGTCCACAGTGAGTCTCCATTTCCCTCAGTGTAAAAGCCAAAGCCCTTGCAAGGCCTGTTTTCCCACTGCTTTTTCCAGTATGCACAGGCCTTTTCGGTATTCTTTGAACCCACCAGGTATGTGAGAAAAAAGCTTTGGACTCTGTTTGAGTTCTAGCTCAATTACTGGTGTGTCTCCAAACTTTAGTTTTTCATCTCTACAAGGGGAATCGTCTGTCTTGTTTCCCTCATGGGAAATGCTTTTTAAATCTAAAGGCTTCTATAAGTACAAGGGTTATTATAATTTTCAAATATCACTTCTAAAACGTGTCTTGCTTTGCCTGAGAATGTTTTGTTATGTCTAGTCCCCTGCTTACATATGATCAATTCAGACAACATCTAGTATGTGGCTTCTTTTGCGGCAGGCATGAGGATATGAGGATATGAGTGTAGCCATGTCATGGTCTCTGAAAGAATTTGCATTCTAGAAGTGGGAGATGGACCTATTAAAAACAAAAAGTGTGTAAAATATTGTAGGTGCTTTGATAAAAACAAAGCATATATAAAGTATAGTAGGGAACAAAGGAAGAATGTTCAGATCTCCCAAGATTAACTGGGAGGGATAAGAAGAGGGATCCATGAAAAGTACTATAGAGCTGATCTTGTACTGAATTCTGAGAGACAGCAGGTGGGGTTAGGTAAACAGGTGGTGAAGGAGAATTCTCCCTGACCACTCCCAACTCATGCTCTTAAAGCACATCCTGTGAATTATTTATCATGACTGTAATTAATTCCATTTGTGAGTGATTATTTATTCATTTTTGGTCTCACCCATCAAATTTAACTCTAGCCAGAGAGGCTCCATGTCTGTCTTATTCATTTCTGTACCCTAGAGTTCAGCATAGTGCTTGGCCCAAGGGAAGAGAGGGGGAAGGAAGGGAGATGGAAGATAGAAGAGGGAAAGAATGAGAGAAGGAAGGAAGGAAAGAAGAAAAGAAGACCATGGCCTGGTTAGGAGCACAGGATTGAGAGTCAGTTGGTCCTGATAAGAGTCCCAGATCTACCACTTAGCAGCTGTATGACCTCGAACATGTTATTTAATCTCTCTGTGCCTTAGTTCCCTTATGCATAAAATGAAGACAATAATAGTTGCTTTTTCAGAGTTGTTGAGGATTTAAGGACATAGTCCTTGGAAAGGGCCGATGTTTTGAGTGCTAGTCCTATCTCCAAGGTTCTGACCACCTTAGGCCAAACTACGGGATGCTCTTAGGACAAAATTAAGGTCTTTCTCTCTGTCCAACAGTTAAAACATTCAAGCATCAAAGCAACTTCAGTTGTTTTGTTTTGCAGCTTAGGAGATGTGTGTGTGTGTCTGTGTGTGTGTGTGTGTGTGTGTGTGTGTGTGTGTGTAGCCTGCAACAAACTGCTTTATCTTAGTTATTCAATCTGAAGGACACTTGTGTTTCAGGGTTGTCCTTGGCTATCTCACTGACCCAAGTGAGGACATTCAGGATCCAGTGAGTGACAAATTCTTCAAGGAGGTGTGGGTTTCAACAGCAGCTCGAAATGCTACAATTTATGATAAGGTAAGGTTCACATATTTCCCCCTTCTTGTTATTGAATCTCATCACAAAAAATAAGAAATTATTATTATTTCTGCATATTATTGGTGTAGAGTATTCTTAACGAACATCAAAAATCAATACATTTCCAGGTTGTAGTAAAATACCTGTTTGTGGACACTGAAAAACAGAGTCAAAGAGCGTCGTGGACTTTGGTGTAGGAGAGGCTTTAGTGTCATGCTGGTCTCTCATCCGATGCAGGAATCCCTCGTGAACATCCTTAGCATGTACTCACCGGCCTTTGTACGTGTCTAGTGGCAAAAAGAAGAGAAGACGATGGGATCAAAAAATGAATTGGAGCTGAACCCAGCTCGCCCAGTTGCTGGTGCTATAACCTGTGTATAGTGACTTCACTTTCTGTGTCTCCCTTTCCTCACCTATAAATTGGAAGGGATATCTCTAAGGTGGTTATGAGGATAAAGAATAGTCTACTAAATGTATTCAGCACATAGTACAGAATAAACAGTATCCATTCTTATGATGAAATGTATTAATAATGAGACATGTCCTTTGTTGGATAGCTCTAATTTTAGAAAGATGTTTTAAAACCAGCTCCATTTGATGCATATCAAATATATCTCCTGTGAAGTCTTTGCATTGGTTGTGATAAAAAATGTACAAGAGTTAAGAGTTGTCTAACAGTGGAGCAGGTTACCTCAAGAGGTAGCCAGTTTCCCATCATGGAAAATATTCAAGCTGAGATTCATTAACCATCTATGAGAAATTGGGCAAGAGCCTAATTCTCTAAGCCTACACGGCCTTCTTTCATAGTGAAAACTCAAGGCTATGGTCAAATAGGTCATTTGCATGGAGTGTTTAAAATGTAATTTTACAAACGCAGTGCACAATCTTGTTTGAGTCTTGGGTTAGTGGAAAACATCCATAAAAGACATTTGGGGATAATAGGATAAATCTGAATACAGACCATAACTTTAATGACATGGAATTAATTCCTTAAGTGTAAAAATAGTATTGGATTATATAGGCACGTGTCCTTATTCTTAAGAAATAAATGCTTTAGTATTCAGGGATCAAGTGTTATGATGTCTAAAACTCATTTTCAATCAGGAAATTATGTTATATATTAACAACTGATAACTCTAAGTAAAGGTATAGATATGAACATCTTTCAAAATAAGCTAGGGAAAATATAATATGCAATTTTCTTCTTAGACCAGAACCTCCAGTAAAAATCAGGGATGATTATTACCCCAAAAAATTAACCTTAATGTGGGATAATGTCAGTGAAATTCCTTACCACTAGCTGGACTTTATCCTGAAGTTAATGACTTCTATAGATCAGATATTAGGTTCTAGCTATGATTTTTTTAACGGAAGCAGATCTACCTATTTGTAGTATATAAGATAACCAATTCTTCAATCAGGTCTGTGCTGTAACATAAAACTAACAATATGTGTTTCATAAAACGAAAGTCTTGTCTGTTGGAATAATTGTTTTCCATTAAGGGCTTTTGGAAGTTTCTTTCAAATTTATCACTTGATTTTCTATTTATGTTCTAATCAGGTGTTCCGGTGCCTTCCAAATGATGAAGTACACAATTTAATTCAGCTGAGAGACTTTATAAGTAAGCCCATATTAGCTAAGGAAGATCCCATTAGAGCTGAGGAGGAACTAAGGAAGATCCGTGGGTTCTTGGTACAATTCCCCTTCTATTTCTTGTCTGAAGAAAGCCTACTGCCTTCTGTCGGGACCAAAGAAGGCATAGTGCCCATGGAGGTTTGGACTTAAGAGCTATACTCATTTGCAGCTCAAAGACTTCCACCCTGAAGACCACACTGCACACAGTGACTTCCCGGGGACATCACAGCAAAAGCCAGGCCCGATGCACTCTCATATGCAACCCATGGACCCTTTGGAATGACTGGGAAGGACTGCAGTCATACTAAGGACACTGAACATCAGCAAGGCTTTATGAATCCTTCTGCCTAACCTCATGAAAGAGGGGCTGCAGTCTTATTGGTAGCATGTATTCGACAACTTAAAACAATACTCAAATTCCATGAAGTATGCCAAAATCCATTTCCTGTGTGACAATAATTTACCTGGAACCGTGACCCAGGTTGCCAAAAGTTGCCTGAACCTCCTTATTCTTCTCTGATTTTCATTTATGCAGCCAATGTCTGCTGGACCTGCCCTCATCTTGTAGTCCATACAGGCATTGTTTGAGATACCGTTTATTACTAGAAGCTATTGTGATTCTTCAAGGTTACATGGAATGCCCCTGCCCATCTGATCCTACAGTAGTGTTCACCCAACCAAGGACTTAGTCATTATTCCTTTTCAGTCACTGTACTGGTAGGACAGACCTTAGTCTACACAGCAGCCTGTGTTAGGCACTTGTGATAACATTGACACTGTATCTTGACACTCCGGAGCAACAGGAAGGAATTAAATTCCAATATTAAGGCAGAGATTTATTTCACTTAGCTCCCAAAGGCACTGACAAGATGTGTCCTTGTGATTAGACCCACCTGATCAAATTTGAAAGCATGCCCAGGATATTTGATTACACAGCAACTAGATAACACTCAGAGCATGCAACCTCAAAAACCTCCAAGGGGTCAGTGGGGATCTGATCCAGATAAGAAAAGAAGATTCCTTCTAGTCCTGTAAAGTTTCCTGTCATCCTCAGCTGCTGGATTGATTGAAATTTCAGGGTCTACGTTTCAAAATCAAACCAGTGAATATAATTTGTCTTTTAAGAGAATCAAAAGCTTCACAACTCCTACCAAGTTAATAAGCATGAGTCTAACCTTGTTTGACATTCAGCTCTCCTGCTACGTTATCTTCTTTAAGAAAAATTGATTGTAAAATGTACTACTTTGCTTGCATTATTAAATACACATTAACATTCCACCAAAGCATCCGAGGAAGTTAGGATACTTACTAATTCACATTGTCCTAGTCTGTGAATTGTTCTGAAAACATGTTTTTCCTCTTCAGATGTTAGCGTACCCTTTAGTAGACCAAAGTTCTAATGTTACTAAGCAGAAGTACCCTCACAAACTGAAAAGCTAATGTGGGTTCCAAAAGGCCTGTGCCCATAAAACATGGTGCAGGCACAATCATTATACATGTATATGGATTAGCCAGACAGACTGTCATTGGGTTGTTCTTCAAAGAAGCCAGCACTCCTTTCCTGCTTTCATGGAGCTAATACTCCAATCAGAAAGGTTAAACAAGAGCACAAAATCAGTGATGTGGGTTAGTAGAAGAGAGAAATGGTGTCACATTCAGGAAAGCATTTCACAGCTAGGGAACATTTCACAAATGAGGTGGGATTTGGGAAACAGCAATGGAAATGAATATTTTTGTGAGTAAATAACCTCTTATATGGCTAAAGACGGTAAAATGACTTCATTCTGTAGCAATTGTAAATAAGACAATTGCTATTTACAAAAGAAGTTTAGAATGGCAGGTGAGGTATTGAGTGTGTGTGGAATACCTAAGGATTTCTTATATTTTATTTTAAAATATTTTTTAAACCTTAAAACAGTTAACAAACTGGCTCTAGATTTTGTGCAAGATGTTCCCATAAAACTGTGAAAAATAAAAGCCTGAAAGGACCCTTTCCCTTAATAAGTCATTTAGTACAACCCCTCCCCATTTTATAGATAAGGAAACTGAGGCTCAGATTGGATGAAGGACTCACTTAAATCCACTCGATATAGATGGTAGAACTGGGACTAGCAAAATTGCTGTAGTCTGTTGTTAGCCTCTCTCTTCATCATTGTCCAAAAATGAGGATATGTGGTAGGCAGATTTCAGACAGGATATCTCTAAGCTATTTTGAACCCTATGATATTATGTATTATGTGTTTGTCTGTGTCCCCCTATTAGAATGTAAGCTCCATGGGGCAGGGACTTTACTGTATTTTGTAAAGTGTATCCCCAGAGCCTGGAACAGTGCCTGGCACATAAGAGATGTCAGTAATGTTTGTGAAATGAATAAACAAGGTGGAGGAGAGAGCGAATGAAATGAAAAACTTAAGTCTCAGACAAAGGAAATCTTGCTGCTGGTTTCTATGGCGAGTTTCTTTTCTATTGCATTTTCTCAAAGGCAATATGCTCATCTGCAAAGAGGCAATAAAATTTACTTGGAGGGATTTTTAGAAAAGTCAATGCAATAATTGCCTCTTTTGCTGTAGCAGTTTACATAGTGCAGCATTCTGCAAAAATCACATGGAATGTGGACATGAGATGAGGAGAAATGAAGGGTTCTCTTCACCCCTGCTACAGAGGGTGGCAGGCAACTGAAAACACTCAAGTATCATATCACATCGTTGAAGTTAAAGAGAGCAATGACGTCTGTGAAAAAAATAATTATTTTGTCAGACACTTTCAAAAGGACACATTCAGTCTTTGTCTCACTAGACATCTCTGAAGCTTCCTTGCCTTCTAATCACTGGTCACTTTTTGCAATCATTTGGGCTCCCCTGTCTCCATTTCATTTCTTTAGGTTCTGGCTTGTGCTCCCATCTCATTCCACCCAACGCCCAGGTAATCCCCATGGTGTCACTGCCATCTGCGTGCTCACCTATAGCACAGCTCTCTCCTGAACTCCAAACACATACCTGAGGATCAGACATCTCCACTAGCTTTTCCCACGTGCACCTCAGACTCCACAGCACAGCCTATCCAGGATGGTGGCATCACAGCTCTCCCTGCCAGCCCCCAGCAATCGCCCCACAGGGCTCCCGCTGCTGTTCCCCAATATTAGAAAACAGCCCCGCCATCCACAAACTGCCAAACTGGAAAATAATTATCCTTCTCGATTGCTGTCTGTCTCTCACTCTCTCCATCTCATTAGCCCCCAAGTCTATCAATTCCAATACCTGAATGTCTCCCAGTTGCTTTCACTATTTTCCCTCCCAATGCTACTTCCTAGTTCACCTTGTTCACTGTCACCTCATCTGGAGTAACTAGTCTAACTCTCAAGTTGGTCCCTCCCAAACCCATTCATTGCAGTCAGAGGTAATGTTTAAATGCAAATCTGGTCATGTCTCCTCCAGCTTAAATTCCTTTAAAAGACTTTGTTTTTAGGTGAAAGCTCTAATAAGGTTTTACAAGGCGCTTTATAGACTGGTCTTTCCTAAACTCTTGAGTGGAATCGCTCCCAGATGCCACTCTTCTTTGGAGTAATACTCAATTTGGCTCTTCCGTATCCCTTGCCTTTGGCTTCCACAGAGGCTAATTTCTCTGCTCAGAGGCTTTCTTTGACCTGCCCAAGTCTGGCTTAGTGCCTTGGCCCCCTGGGTGCCTCCACTGCGTGCTATACGTTTCATGACAATCCCATACCAGAGATGATGCCTGCCAAAGTAACACCCTGGGCTCTAAGCAATAGGAGGGCATGAACCATGACGTCTTGTACACTGGGGCACCCCCGGACCTAATATACCCCACACATATCAGGTGCATGACAGATAGTTGGTGGAGAAAATGAATAAATCTGAAAAAAAAGATGGGTGAAAAAAGAGAAAGATAGCAGATTGCTGGGCACCTGCCAAGATCTAGGAAGAATAGAAGTGTTCAGACTTGTCACTGCCTGAGCTAGAAAGGCCAAACTTAAATTGGCAATGAAAAGGAGAAGGCATATGGGGGGGCTGTCTGCCATAGCAACTTCATTCTCAGCCAGTCTCTCAAGTGATCAAGGGCAACCAGCAAGAAGTTAGGCAAGTGGGGGCCTGTGCTGACTGCATGGGTTTTATGCCTGGTTCCATCACCAGGGAATTGGGAAGCGGTGGCAGACCTGGAAGGAAGGGAAAAGTTATGAGCTAGTAAAGGAAAAATTTTGTTTTTACACATCTTCGCATTTGACTGTACTGTGCCTGATACGTTTTGTTTGGGTTCTCCCCAAAGCAAACCCCAAGACGAAGACTTGAGTGGAGGGTGCGTTCTTAGGAAGCACACGTGCGGGAGAGGGTAAAGCAAGACTGGGAAGCGCAAAGCCAATAAAGGGTGCATTAAAGAGCAGGTTACCACTGAAGGCAGTAGAGCCCAGTCCCAGCGGGGCCTCTGAGGGGTAGGGAGACTGAGGTTAAAGGTCACCCCTGGTAGTGTAAATCCCAGCACTTTTGAAGTTTCCCTGCACACAGATTTAGCCAGCCGCCATGGGTCAGGGAGAGCCAGTAGAGAAGAAGAGAGAAACCCACTAAGGGTGAAGCTGCCTGCATGGGGGGAACTGCCCCATGCAGCTACAGGTGAACTCAGAGGCAGGCTGAGGGTTTATGCAGTTGAGCATCAACACCACCGTGTAGATTGAGCCTCTAATTTTTCATGATAGTTGATATAACCATTATAGAAAATATTATGGAAGTTCCTTAAAAATTAAAAATAAAACTACCATAAGATCCAGCATCCATGATATACCATGACAGCTGGCTATATATCCCACTTTTGGATACATAGCCAAAGGAAATAGGTATCTGCATTCCTGTGTTCATTGCAGCACTATTCACAATAGCCAAGACATGGAATCAACTTAAGTGTCCATTAATGGGTGAATGGATAAAGAAAACGTGGTGTGTGTGTGTATATATAACACACAATATTATTCAGCCATAAAAAAGAAGGTAATTCTTCCATTTGTGACAACATAAATGAACCTGGAGAACATTATGCTAAGTGAAATAAGCCAGGCACAGAAATACAAACACTGCATGATCTGAATTTTATGTGCAATCTAAAAAAGTTAAACTCATAAAAGCAGAGAGTAGAATGGTGGTTGCCAGAGGCTGGGGGGTGAAGGATATGGGGAAACGTTGCTCAAAGGGTACAAACTTTCAGTTATAAGATGAATAAGTTCTAGGGATCTAACATACAACATGGTGACCATAGTTAATGTATAGTATAATTTAAATTTGGTAAGAGAGTAGATCCTAAGTGTCCTCACCACGTACACAAAATGGGTAACTATGTGAGGTGATGGGTGTGTTAATTAGCTTGATTATGGTAATCATTTCACAATGTATACATATGTGTATGTGTACCAAATCACATTGTATATCTTAAATATGATATAGTATTTCATAATATAGTAATTCTTATCCATTCTAAAAGTGTGTAATTTTCCTAAAGATGGGGGTCTTCTAACTTTTTTCATAATTCATGCTGAGCTTATCACAATGCTGAGCATATTTTTCAAGTTATGCAAAAATTGGATGGAAAAGTTGCTACCCCTATGCTCTTCCTCTAAGGCTTCCTGAGCTTGTGAGATTCATTAGGCCAATTCATGAAGCTTGGAGAAGAACCAAGGAAATAAAAGCTGTTTTTATATTAGAGTGGTACAATAAGAAGTGGATTTCTAAATTTTCCCTTGGTATTTATAAAATCTCAATTTTTTTAATAAAATATAAAATACAATTAAAGCTGTTATAATGGAACTAAATGTCAGGTCAAACTCTCATTTGAAAGATTATAGAAAGTCAAAATTAAATACTTTTTTTCCTAAGATATTTGGCTATTCTTTTTCTAGACAATAGACAAAAGCGCTGGTTTAGAATTGGAGCGAATGACTCAGTAAGCAAATACTGGTGATTTATGAGAAACAACAAAAGAAGAAGAAGCACTTTTTTAAAGTCTTTGAAAACAAAGACACTATTTTCTGGGCTTCTTTTTCATAACTCTTCTTCATTCATAAGAAACTTTATATTGTAATGCATTCTCTAGTTACTGGTGCAGGGACCCCATGGTGGAAGCCAAAATAGAAAGTTCTTGATTGGCAGGTTGAGTCACCGAATTCTTATTTTCCCAGGCAGATATTTGTGTTGCTTTTTTCTCTGTTCCTTGCATGAGTTGATTATTTGTGTGATAACTCTGCTTTCCAGGAGCTGTACACTACCTTCCTATGCTTGCAAAAACTCTAAAGCCTTTTGTTTTCTCATTCACATTGAGTTCTATTACAAGAATTGTCTAATGGTAGCCAAATGCTGTTAATAAAAAGGGAAATCATGATAGGTTTCCAGCACCTAGAAGAGAAGCCCATCATATTCAAGAACCTGAATTTTCATTAAGCCATGTTAGTTTTTGTTCACTTAAGCTAACCTCAACTCTTCTTTCTATTGTTGTAAGTAGTGGGATTTGTTTCAACAGATTTTATTTTTTTGGAAATATAATCTCAAATAACCTGTATATATCTCATGTACATATTACTGAGATAATTGGCCTTTTATTAGAAGTCAAAAGAGATACAGAAGGGAGAAACATTCTATTCAACACCTTTATAGGTCAGAGAGAACTACAACAAAGGATGATTTCTAAACAAAATGTATTACAAATAAAAAATGGTCATTGTAACAACTCTGAAATGATACTGCACAAAAAACCAAAAACAATAAATACTCATTTTGTTTCTGCTAGTCTGTGGCTCTTCATGGCATCATAAAGACATCGATGCACATTGAATAAAAGATCTTTCTGAATAATAGCAGTACAATGGGGAGCCCAATATTCATTTTTCATTAGGGAAAATAAAAACAAATGTAAATTTATCCTTATCATTTTTTATTTATTGAAGCAAAAATGTCTTTCAGCACAAATGCAGCCTTACCATCCAAAGTGGGAGGTACATGAGCACTGAGAGTCCAGAGGGAAAGGAAAATCACTCAACTTGAGTGTTTCTCTCATCACGCAGGCCAGAGAGAGAAATTAGTTACTGGGGACCCCACCTGGGTTTGTATATTTGCCATGATTGAGAGCCCCAGTACAGAAGCAAACCACCACAGCATAATTTTTATCTTAGTTACTCATTCCTTTTGTTTGAAGGTGCCCAGTGTGTTTGAGGGCCTCAAAAAGTTCTTTGCTCTTATGCTGAAATAATCACACAACAGACCATTAACAGCCTCCTGTGGGAAACCCACCTCTAGGTAAGCATAGTGCATGACTCAAAGCAGAGAGACATGCCAATGATCCACTAATTTATGCCCTTCCCAGTTAGTGCTGAAGCCAGTAAACCTCAAGGAAGATTAAATAGATTTTTTTTTTTTTG